CCTAGTGGCACCCATCTCGGCACACCCCTCACACGTTCCGTAATCCTATGGGGAGTTCCATTGAAGATGAAACCCGCAGCTGCGGTACTGACAACTGCATATGGTTGGGTTCTTCGCCAGGCTAATTTTTTTTCTCTCTCTGTCTCTCTCTCTCTCTCTCTCTCCCTCTCTCTACAAGTCTCTCGGGGTGCGCCAGTGCCCCTTCTGTCGCCATTCTCTGCGCCGGGTGGGGAGAGGGCAGCGCGGTGGACCGGAGGGCAGGTTGGTCTGGGATCGCCAGGCGCCGCTGATATCCACCCCGGCCGACGCCGCCCCGACTAGAGCCGCGGCGGATCTCGCTGGGATGTCGCGCTGGACCTCTCCCTCGAGGGTCGTCGGGAGGGACTTCGAGTCTGAGATCGACTATCGACTTGGTCTTCCCAAATCTAAGTCTCCGTCGGATCCAGCATAGATGCGTATAATCTTGGTCGATCTACGAACATTCTGTGTACGGTTCAAATCAATGTTGCAGTCGATCTCCTGCTCGAGGATCAGGACAGAAATCAATCGCTCCAGAGCGCTCCAGAGCGCCCTCAGATCGCCCCCAGATCTCCCCGAGAAGGCCCGCGGCGCCCAATGCATCCTCCAGAACCGCCGCATCTCGGAGATCCTCGATTTGTCCCGATTCGATACAGTCAAGACGCTGCAGTGAGGATCAGTGTGGGTTCAGAAGGGACTCGATGTTCCTCAGGTCCTTCCATGACTGTTCATCTAGCCCTCCTCGTGCACGCAGGCGCCTTTGGGGTCAAAAAGCGGCTTCGTTCCTTATTGACCGTTCCTTGTTTCAGCAGCCGGGCTGTATTGTCCCTGTCCCTGCCTCGTCCCAAGAGATCCGACGCTTCTAAAAATTGGAGGGGCAGGATCTCGGCAGTTTTGGGCCTCTGGGGGCCCTCGCTGGGCCTCGGAGCGTCAAAACAGAGTTCGGAACGAAAATCCGGCCCCGTGGAAGTGGTCCGGACTTCCGGGGCCCACGCATCGAAAAAATTGGAGCAGCCGGATCTCTGGGTGTGGCGCGTGACGGTGGAGGCTGATCAGCAGGTCGACCCTGGTAAAGTAAGGGTACCCCTTGTGTCCTGTGTTTCGCGACCCGTGCCTTCGAAAATTCCGGAGGTACTGTTCTAGGCCCATTCTAGGCTTACAAGACCCGAGCATTTTCTTTGGGTGGAGGGCAAAGGGTGAAATCTGAAATGCCGTTTCGATGAGTTCTCGAGGCTTGAATCTGCAAGAGGTATGGCACAAGACGGATTGCTTCTCGAGGTGATACAAAAGCCCACCTGGACTTCACCCTGAGCCCTCCACCCTGAGAGAATGCTCAGAAGATGGGGTCGGAGCTGCCGGGGCCGGAGTTGCTGGGGCCGGAGCTGCTGGGGTTCTTGCCCGTTTTCGGTTCTCGAGAGGGCGCCGTGGCCGTCATTTTCCAGGCTTGCGCCCGCCAGGTTTGGGCCTCAGGTCGTTTTCACTAAACCACGTTTTATTGGAAGTGGCGGTCGAGGAGAGGGGCGCCGAAGCCTCTGTGGCTCGAGCGGCGCAGCTCTCCTTCGGGGCCGCGGGCGCTCGTGCTCGGGCCTCCCGAGGCCGCCGCCGGCCGCCTCTCTCCCGGGGCCCGCCGGGGAATGTCCGCGCTCCTCCGCCTGGGCGTCGCTCGAAGGTGTGTGGTGTTTCTCTCGGCCAGGGCCGTCGAGGAGGGTCTGGGGTCACCCTGCGAGAAGAAGGCACGCACGCGGTCGGAGCATGTGCGCGGAAGGGACGCCCGAGCCACGGCGAGCCTCTCTGCCCGGCGAGGACAGGGATGGAACGCAGGACGGGCTGGGCGGTGCAGAGGGCCAGGATGGCAGGCTGTGAGGCCGGGGGAGGGAGGACCACAGGGAGGAGGCGGGGAATTCTGGGAGGATGGCGGCTTCACGCAAGGAGGCAGCGATAATGGGAAGGAGCTGAGGCAGGATGAGGCAACCGGATGAAGGGGCCGCGCTGGATACAGTCAATCCGTATAGTAAGGATGCGAGCTGAGGATGCACGGGTTTTGGACGCCCATGCCGAGACTCTTCGAGCGAGTCTGGCCATCGAAAGTGATTGAGGACGGCCTCATGATGACCGAAGAGGCAAGGATGCAAGGGTGCCCTTGGGAAGGCGGTCATCCCTACACTGTGCGGGTTGACTACTCGGAGGGTGGACGGAAGGAAAACATGGGTTGAGCACCAGCTTTTCTCGACAATCGAGCCTCCGAAGGGGAGCGGTGGATCGATGTACCACAAGGAGCTGGTGCGGTGCATCCTGTGGATTGTCCAGAAGCAGCCGGGCCTCGCGGCGCGCTGCGTGGAGGGAGAGGGGGGGCGAGTGCGGCGCGGCAGGGCGCGGTCGCGGCAGGCGGCAGGTCGGCGTCGGGGGAGCAGGGCACGAGCAGGGCCAGTCCCTGGCGCGGCGGGTGAAGGTGGAAGAGGCGGAGGAGCACTCCGAGCAGAAGGAGGGGGGGGGCTGCACAGAATCTGCACGAACGAGATGGGCACGGAAAGACTGGGTACAATGTCCAACAGCAGCTCCTGTTCATCTTGAACAGGACTCGCTGCCCGCGCCGCCGCGGCCTGTGTCCATTCGAGACAGACGGCCGCCTGACCAGCAGCGGCCGCTGTTGGTTTGGAACAACATTTGTGGTTGGGCATTGTGCCCATTCTTTCGGTACCCATTTCGGGTGTCCCAACAGAAGGGGAGGCCGAAGCACGGCAGGGCTGCATGCAGGGCAGGCCAGGAGAGGAGCCCAAGGCAGTTTGCCGGTGCAGACGCGCAGTCCACTGGAGCGCCGAGGAGCGCGCTGGCAGACCGAGGCAAGCTGTGCGCGACGGGGAGCAAGCACGGCTCGCAGCCTGCGCGTGTGCGACGCCCCAGCGAGCGGCAGACACGTGTCAGCACCGCTGACAAGGCCTTTGCTCTCCACTCTCCTCCTCTCGCCCTCGTCCTCTCTTCCCTCTCCGCCTCCCTTCAAGGGTGACGGCGTGTCGCCTTGGTCAGCTCGCTGTGCTCCTTGGTCTTGCAGAGTGCTCGTGCCATATTCGCGCGTTGCGTATGGGCTGACGGCGAGCCTCACGAGGTCTGAAGGTTTGCAGGTAGCCTCGTCATCTTTGGCTGGCGCTGTGACTTGTTGAGTCCTCTCTCTTCCGTTCTCTCTTCTCCGAAAACCAACCAGCCAAGCTGCAGAAACACGCTCCCCGAGCTCGACGCTGGCTTCTCGGTCGGCGCCGCGCCCTCCTGGCGGCGCCTCGTGCGCCGATCCAAGAACTCCGGGCGGACCTCCGAGAAGCTCTGCGTATGCTCTTTGGTCGTGTCTTCATTCCCTCCCTCGCGGTCGCCCGCCTGCTCCCTTTCTCCCCCTTGCTGTTCTGGCGGACGATCGATGGAGAGGAAGCATGTTGCCAAACCATTTCCAGATGTCTAAAACATGTGTTACACATGTTTTAAATCTTAAATGCATGTTTCACACCTGCTTAGAACAGTTTTCCGGCATTGTTTTAATATTAAACTCAATGATCGGATTGTTAGGGTGTCCATTGTCGTGGCATCCACAACCTTTTTGCCGCCGGACAATCAGCGTTTGCCTTCTCCCGGCCGCTCGAGCGCGCGTGCGGACTGCCTCCGCCGCGCTGCGGCGCAGCACAAGTTTCTCGATTCCTACTGCCACTATCGGTGACCGCCCCTCCAGTCTCGGTCAGAGCACCAGCCGCGCTCGATGCTCTGGAGGGTTGCCCCTTCAGCCGCGACACCTCTCTTGTAACAGGGGATGCGCCGACCCCTATCCCAGGTTTCGTGAGGTTTTCGAGAGGATGAAAAATTTGGGGCCCAACCCTGGGATATACGAGGGGGGGCGTCCATCCTCGATAGGGGTACGTCCGAATAGCCCCCTCGGGGTGTATCCCAAGATTCCCCGCCTTTTCTGAGCGGCCAAACTTTTCCGGCAGAACTCGGGGATGGGGGGAGAACAATAGCCTGCGATCTTGGATTTGGAGCGTGCCGCCGTCGTCGCGTCTCGCACACGCTGCCGCAGCCGGCAACCCTCGAGGCTCAAGCTGCGCGGCGGTGCGAAGCCCGCGCGTGCACCCCGTGCAGGTGCGAGCTGCCAGGGCGCGGTCCGTGGCCCGCTTCGGGGAACCCTCCTGCTCCTCCGCCTCCTCCTCCTCCTCCTCCTCCTCCTCCTCCTCCTCCTCCTCCTCCTCCTCTCTCCTCCTCCTCCTCCTCCTCCTCCTCCTCCTCCTCCTTCTCCTCCACCGCCTCCTGCTAGGCTGTTCAGTCCAGCCCGCGGTGGTACCAACAGTGCCATTTGGGCTGACCGCGGTGAGTTTCCCGCGGCGGATCTTGACAGGAGCCGCGGGCATCCTTGCCCACCAGCCCACGCGTGCTGCAGGATGCTGGGCCATCTTGCTCGGGGGGATGCACTCCTCTCTCCCTCCTGCCTTTGCCTTTCTCTCCCTCCCTCCCTCCCTCCCTCCCTCCCTCCCTCCCTCTCCCCCAAACGCGCGGAACCATGTCGGCCCGCGGCTCCCCGGCCCAGCTGATGCGACCCATCGCGCGCATTGCGCGGGAACGCCCGCAGGCGCAGCCTGGCAGTGTGGCGCCCCCATCTCTCCGGCCCGGCCCTCCCGCGGCTCCTGCTCGGCGTCCCGCCCGTCTGCCCTCCACGGGCCGCGGACACCTCCGCGTCCGCGCCCCGCCCGCGGCCTGGGCTCCGGGGAGCGCGCGAGTCCGCGGCTGATGTGCGGTCGCAGGGGTGCGTCCCGCGCGGGGCATCCGCGGAGAAACGCCCCGGTGCCCGCGGTGCCGCGGCCCTGGGGGGCCCCTGGCCCGCGAGGCCGCGGATGCGGACCCCGCCCCCCCTGCCCGCGCGCGGCCGCTCGGGGCAGCAGCGGCTCGGCCCCCCGCCGGCACACTTCTTGCGATCCGCAGCGCGGGTCGCGGGCGATCCGCGCGCGCGTCGGGGCGAGACCGGGACACGGCATCGCGATATTAGCTCGCGTGCAGGAGGAGGGGGAAGGAGGACGGCCGCGGAGAAGGGAGCAGGGCGCGAGTGCACACTCACACAGCGAGGCTGCGGCGGGCGCGCGGGCGCGGCCAGAGTGACGGGTGGCCCTTGGCAGCAGCTGCGGGTCGGCGTCGCAGTACACCCAGGGGGGGGGCCAGCAGCCACGGTGCGGGCATGGCACCCCCGAAACACCCGCGTGGGCACACGGAGGGCCACGCGCCGGTGATGTGCGGATTCTCCCCGCCCAGATCATTGGATACCAGATCCCGATCGCGATCGGCAGCGACCGATCGGCACTCTCGCTCGGTCGCGACCGATCGCGACTGGTCGGCCGCGACCGATTTGGTAGGAGATCGGTCGCGACAGATCCTGAAATTTGAAGCATAATCGATAGCGGCCGATCTCGCGGGTCGCGGCTGGAAAATTCTAGAATTCAGCGACAAGGGCGGGTTTGGGGGGCGTCGGACTCCGTTTCCCCCATGTGCTTCTCGAGGGACATCAAGCGGCATAACCATAAACTTTCGGAGCTCCGCGCGATTTCTTAGATCGCGCCAGTGGAACCCAAGAAATCCGCAAGGACCTCCAGCAATTGGCGTAGCACCCCGCCGTTGCGGATAAGAGTGAGGGTGCGGCGGGGACGTCGGCAGTCTGCGAGGCTCGGAGGAAGCCCTCCGCGTGTGCCCAATATTTACAGATTATACAACGAGCCCGCCGCAGGCGTCGGTTTTCTCGTTAAAACAATGTGGGTGGGTCGCAGGTGGATCGCGGGTGCGTCGCGGATGCGTCGCGGGTGGGTCGCGGGTGGGTCGCAGTTCGGGTCGCGGGTGGGTCGCGGACCGTGTCGCGGGTGTGTCGCTGGCGGGTCGCGGGGTGGGTCGCGTCGCGGGGTGGGTCGCGGCGCGGGTTGTGTCGCGGGTGGGTCGCGGGCAAGGTCGCGGGCAGGGTCGCTGGTGGGTCGCGGGAACCCGTATCGCCGTGTCTGGGCCTTCACCAACTTGCTTGAATTACGAGAAAACCTCGAGCGAGAGCGCCGCTTTTGAGTTCGGGGACCTCTCTGGCAAGGGCTTTTGGGAATACGCCTTGAGGAAGTATCGAACGAAAACCCCTGTCGTCGTAATTGGGCCTCCGCCGGCTTAAGTGATCACGGGCGAGAGCGCCGTTCCTGAGTTCGGGGGTTTTCTGGCCAGGGGCTTTCGGAGTAAATCGTGACGAAGTATCGGGCTGAAGCCCTTGTCGTCGTGGCTGGGCCTTCGCCAGATGGCGACGGCGACGGCGAGGATGACGGCGACGACGACGACGACGAGCGAAAGCGACAGCGGGTCCACGACGACGAGCGACGACAACGACGACGAGCGAGAGCGAGAGCGACAGCGGGTCCACGAATGGCAAGAAGGGGGCCACGAAGAGCGACAGTGGGGCCACGAAGGGCACGCGTATGGGGCCACGAAAGGCGCGAACGAGCGGGGGCCACGAAGGGCAGATAATGCGGAGCCACAGAGGGCAAGGACGGGGCCGCTGACTGTAACACCGGGGCCACGTAGGGCAGCGAGGGGGCCACACAGGGCGACAGCGGGGCCACGAAGGGCGTGCATATGGGGCCACGACGGGCGCGAACTAGCGGGGGCCACGAAAGGCGTGCGCATACTGGGCCGCAGAGAGCAAAGACGAGGCCTCTGGGGGGCAGCAGAGGGGCCACGAAGTGCAGCGAGCGGACCGCGAAGGGCGACGGCGGAGCCACGAAACGCATGCGCACGACGCCACGACGGACGCGAACAAGAGGGGGCCAAAAAGGACATGCATATATGGGGCCAGGAAGGGCAGCGAGGGGGCCACGAAGGGCTGCAACGGGGCCACGAAGGGCAGCGACGGGGCCGCGAAGGGGTGCAACGGAACCACGAAGGGCAGCGAGGGGGCCGCGAAGGGCTGCAACGGGGCCAGGAAGGGCAGCGAGGGGGCCACGAAGAGCTGCAACGGGGCCACGAAGGGCAGCGAGGGGGCCACGAAGGGGTGCAACGGGGCCACGAAAAGCAGCGAGGGGGCCACGAAGGGCTGCAACGGGGCCGCGAAGAGCAACGAGGGGGCCACGCAGGGGTGCAACGGGGCCACGAAAAGCAGCGAGGGGGCCACGAAGGGCTGCAACGGGGCCACGAAAAGCAACGAGGGGGCCACGAAGAGCTGCAACGGGGCCGCGAAGAGCAGCGAGGGGGCCACGAAGGGGGGCTGGAACGGGGCCACGAAAAGCAGCGAGGGGGCCACGAAGGGCTGCAACGGGGCCACGACGGGCAGCGAGGGGGCCACGAAGGGCTGCAACGGGGCCGCGAAGAGCAGCGAGGGTGCCACGAAGGGCTGCAACCGGGCCACGAAGGGCAGCGATATCCCGATTCCTAAGTAAGCTGTGGGGGAGTCCCAAGCGTGAGCGCGACTCCTGGGTGCCTGAGTGTCGGGGGCGCGGCGCT